AGTGACATCAGCTGTTATCACAGCCAGCTGGCAGTTCTTACTTAAGATTATTTTCAGCTACTTTAACTACTCGGCCTGAAATGTTCCATGTCAATTGTCTGCTTCAGGTAGTTCTTCCCCTCCCCCTCCCCTCCCCACCAGCTTTTTAAAAAAGAGTCAGAGAACGGCTGGAACTTTTTTCTATGAAAGGATCTGTGAAAAAAGCCCTTCTAAGGTCTTCTTTTGAAAAACTAATCACTTTCCTGGTTCAGTAACTTGAAATCAGGCTGGACAGTATTTTTATAGGAGAGGTACACTCTGCTCATTTTATTGAAAAATCTGACCTGGTTTAGCCAAGATACAAAGGTTCTAGAAATCAGAATTTGTATGTATTTTTGGCAGGACCTAGTGGAGCTTAACAACGAACCACCAAACAGTTCATCCTCAGTGATCTTCTGTATGTCACCTCCACATGCAAGGCAACTGCACTCAGTTTCCTCTAACCTCTGGCTTTCCATGAAGAGCCATATTTTCCCCATAAGAGAAGTCTGCGTTTAACACACATTAGGTACAACACTGAACAAAAAGTGTCTTGCATATTTCTGCAACCTTATCTACGCCAACATCCCTACCTTGGTTGAAAACAGTGGCCTGTAACTTCACAGACTTGTGTAAGTGAGTAGGATTTAGGGTAAACTGACAGAGCACATGGAGAGAAGGTGGAGAAAACGCCTTGTAGTGGAAGCCAGAACTGGAAACTTTAAAGACTAAACTAGGATTGACTAGGCAAGGAACAAAAGAGGAACGTAAGAAGATGATGTGGTAGTGGATGAGAGCACAATTAAGCCAAATGAGCGATCCCAGGCAGAACTTGGAACTGGAGATCACCAGGACTAGATGGAGCCACAGACAGAATACACCTGACAGAGCTGTGTTTTAGTGAATATATGTGGAAGGGACCTGGCTCACAACAAAACATCCACTGTTAAGAATCAGAAACAGACAAGAAGAAAAATCAGACACAAGTGAGAGTGAGAAGAATTAGTAGGCAGGAAAAGGCTGACAGCAGAGAGACATGGTGCAGCCAGAGACAGTCTGGGACTAGTCAGGCCTAAATATTTGATTGAAAAGGCAGAATCGGTGCTGCACTGGAAACTTGCTTGAGGCGGGGACAAACTGGAGGTATAGGCAAAAAGCTTAAAAAAAGTGCATGTCTTCAGAAGCTACTGAAAAACGTAAAATAAAATACCCTAAAGACTTATCCTCTGCGAGTATCTGCAAACCCTTCCTCCTCTCAGAAAAAAATAACCCACTTTACTGATAAAAATACAGTACAGGCCATAACTCTGTTACTTTCTGAATTCAAGAACAGTAACATTCATGTATTAGATTTAAAAGCTTCAATCATGCTAATTACCAACATGACACCCATACTATAGCACATTAGTTGTCTTATTTTGCTACTTTTTTTCATTGATTTCAACTAGAAAATTACATGTAGAAGCACACTTAGAAAATATTAAACAAATACCAAGCTTGGAATTTTAATTCCCTGGATGCCAGGAATTTCTCCATTCAAGTTTGTCTACTAGCATTAATTGTGATTTTATTACTACACTATCTCAAACTTTTTTTTTTGTACTCCATCTCATTCAATTAACAGGGTATTTTCTAGGAATAAATCCAAGTTGTATAGTGAAGGATGGCATTCTCTTTAAGACCCTGCTTTCAATATTATGGAACCCAAATGTTACACAGGAGAACAAGTTTTTAAATTGAGCTTTTCCCAAAGGATTCTTAACTGGTTGCATTAATTAGATTGTTTTGCATTAATAGTAAAGCTTTTACATTCATGAAAAGTGGCACTCAACTCCATTCTGTGACCAGTACTCCTTTAAATGTTTGTTGCAACTGAACTGGATCCATTCTGCAACTTCAGAATGCTGAACAGAAGTCAAAATTATCAAAGCAGAGATGCAAGCTTCTTCTCAGATCTCTAGAGAAAGAAGACCGCATTCCCAGTTTTTGCATGTAAGCCAAAGAAACCAAAGAACCCCCTCGACAACTTTGCTTTTTTATGCGACTCCAAGAAATCCACATTATTGTTCAGAAGGTACTTTTTTCTTCCTCTGAAAGTACTTTATTTATTTACTGTTTCTCATCAATTTATTTTTATGTCAAGAATAGTCACAATATATCCTAAAAGAGATCAGCATCAGTGCATCCCTAAGAGGAAGAAATCAGGCAAGATGAGCAGGAGACCTGCATGGTTGACCAAGGAGCTTCTGAAAAAGCTCAAATGGAAGAGGGAAGTTTACAGTACATGGAGGAAGGGACTGACCACTCAGGAAGATTACAAGAATGCTGCCAGAGTATGCAAGGATGAAACAAGAAAGGCCAAGGCCTCCTTGGAATTAAACCTAGCAAGGGATGTCAAGGTCAACAGGAAGGGTTTCTTTGAGTGTATGGGAGGAAAAAGGAAAACTAGTGGAAACGTGGGCCCACTGCTGACTGAGGCTGGGGCCATGGTGATAGAAGATACACAGAAGGCAGAGTTAGTGAAAGCTTTCTTGTGTCAGTCTTTACTGCTTAGGCCTACCCTCAGGACTCCCAGACTTTGTAAGTAACAGAGAAAGTCTGGAGGAAGGAAAGCTTTCCCTTGGCTCAGAAGGATCAAGTCAGAGATCAGTTAAATAAACTGGTTATCCACAAATCCATGGGCCCTGACAGGATGCACCTGCGGGTGCTGAGAGAGCTGGCAGAAGTCATTGCTGGGCCACCCTCTCTCATCTTTGAAAGCTCCTGCAAAACAGGAGAGGTGCCTGAGGACTGGAGGAAAGCCAATGTCATTCCAGTCTTCAAAAAGGACAAGAACAAAGACGCAGGAAACTACAGGCTAGCCAGCCTCAACTCCATCCCTGGAAAGATGATGGAACATCTCATTCTGGGCATTCATCTCAAAGCACGTGGAGGAAAAGACGGTTATCAGAAGCAATCAGCATGGATCCACCAAGGGGAAATAAGTCTAATCTGATGGCATGAATTAATGGATAGATGAGGAGAGGGCAGTGGATGTTGTCTACCTTGACTTCAGCAAGGCTTTAAGACATAACTCCCACAACAACCTCATAAACAAGTGTGGGTTAGATGAATGGACAGTGAGGTGGATTGTAAAGTGGCTGAAAGATAGAGCTTAGAGGGTTGTGATTAGTGGCACAGTCTAGTTGGAGATCCATAACAAGTAGAGTTCCCCAGGCGTCAGTGCTGGGTCCAGTCCTGTTCAATATAATCATCAATGACCTGGATGAAGGATTAGAGAGCACTGTCAGCAAGTTTGCTGATGACACAAAACTGGGAGGAGTGGCTGACACACCAGAAGGCTGTCTGTGCTGCCGTTTGGTGAGACCTAGACAGGCTGGAGAGCTGGGCAGAGAGGAACCTTATGAAATACGAGGTCGAGTGTAGGGTACTGCACCTAAGGGAGGAATAACCCTGTGTACCAGTACAGGCTGGAGGCTGACCTGCTGAAAAGCAGCTCTGTGGAAAAAGAGCTGGAAGTCCTGGTGGACAACAGGGTGACCATGAGCCAGTAATGTACCCTTGTGGCCAAGAGGGCCAATGGCATCCTGAGATGCATCAAGAGCGTAGCCAGCAGGTGAAGGGAGGTCATCCTCCCCCTCTGCTCTGCACTGGTCAGGCCGCATCTGGAGCACAGCGTCCAGTACTGGGCTCCCTGGTTCAAGAAGAAAAGGGAACTGCTGGAAAGGGCATGGCAAAGGGCTACAAAGATCATTAGGGGACTAGAATATCTCTCTTACGAGGAAAGGCTGAGATACTTGGGGCTTTTAAGTCTGCAGAAGAGAAGATTGATCAATCAGACATCTTATCAATGGTTATAGATACTTGAAGGATGTCAAAGAGGATGGGGCCAGCTTTTTTTCAGTGGTGCCCAGTGACAGGACAAGAGGCAACAGGCACAAATTATGTCACCTATCCAGCTCCAAGGTCCATATCAGGCATCCCGAGTCCAACACTGTTTACCATGCAACACATGATTCAGAAAATTCAACACATGTCTCTTGGTCCTTCGATTAAAACTGCCAGTTGAGCCCCAGTTCTTCAATGTTCTTGCAAAACAACTTCAGAAACTGATTCTGGCACAGAGAAAGCAAGCTCTGGTCCTCGATTCTTTACCATATATAATTTGTAACTTATCCCTCCAAGCTGTAACTGAAAAATACAATGATTTAGATTTGAGAGATTTCAGAGCTTCCAAGTTGCTCAAAAAAAGCCAAACCAACAAAACAACCCATAATACATTGTCTGCAGCTTTTTACTGAATAGTATTTCAACACAATGGCACATCAAGAGGTAACTGCTTTTTGTGCAACTGCCCATACTGTCGATATATAGCTTAAAAAAAAGAGAGAGAATCTAGTACAGCCTGTCCCTCCTCCTCCTTTAAAAAGGAGAAAATAACCAATCTTTATTTTCAAGGAAAGTAATGCTTGCTATTCATGCACATATATGTACAATGCTGATTACGAATCTTTGTAAAAAAAACCAAACAACACAATCTTGACTGCTTTGCTGTTTTTAGTCATATTAGCAACCTCTTCTGTTTTCTGGAAAGGAACCCAATGATGAATATCAGGAACAAATTAATTGTCAGCAAAATAGGCTCAGAGTAACTGGATGCTGCACACACTCAAACCCATACGTAGTTTCATGAGAAGGCTATAAATGCAGCAGCCCTTCTTCACTCCCCATCTGCCATGGCTCAGTGCAGCCTGTATGCTGTAAGGCTGCTCCCATGGAGACTTGGAACACTCCTAAATACAGTGGTGGCAGACTTACTGAAGCAGATAGGAACGATATTCCACAGTCCTGTTTCATCATCAAGGACAACAGCCAGAGAAGTAGTAACAAATCAAAACGTAAAACTAAAAAAAATACTAGCTATAAAGTAGAAAATGCTTACCTGCTGA